GGTAATCGCCAAATCTGCATCTTAACAGAGGCGTAGTTTGACGGGGGGGGGGCATTTTGCACTTTTGATACTTCCCATCGACGTGTCGACCCATCTAGACAGCCTCTTCTCGAGTTGACAGGTTTTACCATGATGGCTTGACGAGCTTGCTCCAGCTTCACAAGAGTTCACAGGTTTCACCAGAGTGAGACTTGTAAACCGGAACTAGTGAAGCAACGAAAGTGCAAAATGCCCCCCCCCCCCGTCGTCAAACTGCGCCGTTAGTCGAATACTCATGAACTGCTCTCGAAGGTGTCACCGAAACTTGGTGGCATTCAGCGAAAAGGGCATAGTGGTACACTGGAAGGATATTACAACTGAAAACACTATCGCTTGGGAGAGGCAGTTGAGAAAATAGGTAAGTGTGCGACGGTACCCTGAGGACTTCCATTATATGGCTGGCATGAAAATTTAGAAATAGGAGGCAGCAGTGAGCATAAGAAAGCAATTAACAAGCAGGTGCTGTTCTGAAATGCATGGAGGCTTTTGTTCTTCCAGCCACTGCCACGAACTTAGAAAGTTTCCATTTAGACCGGTTTTTAGATATTTTTGAGAGGTATCGCTCGGGAACTGCTAGCCTTTGCGACGCTTATCATGGGCTGAGCGGAGACAATCAACAAAGTGCCGTCGCTGTCGTCTGGATCGTCAGAAATGTTGCAGGGTACAATCCCGACAGTTCTTTTTATTATCAATTACCAGTTGTTATCAGCAGGCCTTCATAGGTGGTCATGGTAAGAAGTAACATCCACCCTTTAATATGTGGAGCAATTTGTGCACTTAGCCAAGCACTATGCCTTTTGAAGCAACTGAATCGGTGGTGAGCTATAGAACGCATATCGCTCTTGACCGTCGGCAGCGTCTCGAGTGCTCGGAAGATATAGCTAGATCAGCAGCGTCTGTGAACGACCACCAGCGAGAAGCAGTGTCCGTAGGAGAGTGGAGCGTATGGGGCGGTGGGAAGGTAGTAGACAGCTGGTAGAGTATGGGGAGATAGGAGGGTAGCAGACTGCTGGTAGAGAGTATGGGCGATAGGAGGGTACCAGCTGTCTGCTACCCTCCTATCGCCCCATACTCTCCACTTCCGGACGCTGCTGGTCGCTGGTGGACGCTGGTAGACGCTGGTAGACGCTAGATCGATACCTACACTTTCCTAACCTCTAACGCTACCGGACGTTGGGAACGCTAGTGGTGCTTGTGGACACTGCTGGTCGCTGGTGGACGCTGCCGCAAAATATGAACGCAGTTGGAATTACTTTCAGATCTACGGTGCCGTTAACCCGTGTGCAAGTGAGTGAAACATAGTGATTGCTTAGAGGTGATGCTGTTCACGACCTGATGTCGATCGAGACGCGGATCGGAGCGATATTTCCAGGCCTCGTGTTTGCTGAGACTACGGTCACGCCAAACGGGTGTGGTCTCGCGATCCACTTTTCTAAGCACGTCGTCATTGAGAAGCGTCTTCACTGTCACCTCTTTCTCGCCAGCCGATGATATCGGATATTGTTGCTGTTGCTGCACTTGCCGTCGCCACATTTGCTCACGTTCCTGTGAAACGTTCCCGCTGGAGCCATAGCGATTCTTGTTCGCTGACACACTGAACGTAATGGGCTCTGGTGGCACGGGACTGCGTTTGACCGTGATGTGATCCCGTTTGAAGCCAGTCGGTGGTGCAAAGCTGGTGCCGAATTCGCTTTGGTCAATATGGCGGACCTCATGACGAATCTTCTGGTTAGAAATAGTGTCACCAACGAGAAGATTAGCATCCACTTCATCAACATTTGGTGCATAGTACGAATTGCATGGCGAACGTGGATCGGCTGAGTAGCGCGATCGGAGTCGTGGTGGATCCGGGCCATGGCCGTGGTACGGACCCGGCGCCACTTGGCCTTTTCCAAAGGCAAGTCCACCTAGTTCATAACCGGAACGAGGACGAGGCTGATCGCGGGTCCTGCTACGAGTGCGATATTCGTAACTGTAGTCGTAAGGAGCAGCCGGAAAATGTAGGCCCTTGGTGTAGTCCAGGCCACCGTACTCGTAACCAGGATGGGTCCTGAAAAGAATGCCATCACTAGGGTTATAGCTTGAATACAACGATTAAGACGCGACTTACTCTCTCGGTTCGCTGTGTCCTCTGCGACGAGAATATGACTGAGTCTGATAGTAGGCTGGCCCGTAGGTCGGATGGGTGGTGTGGGTATACACTCTGAAAATGAGGGATGTTTGGACCTTCATAGCTGGAATAATGGGCTGAGCTGTTGGAAACCGTCTAGCACGGATGGGAGAGAACCCTATTTCAATTTTTCCCTTGCATCATCACACTCTACGTTACAATGGTACATCTGGGAGTTTAGCTCAAACTGATTGTGTGGGCACAGACGGTCAGCTGCCTGCCTTCCTCATCAGGGTGAAGAGAGTTGGCGAAGTGAGGGAGGGATTGTCGCAGCCCATGTCTCCACCCAGCACAGACTGTGCCCTTAGTGGTGGTTGAAATGATTTACCCCTTCTGGTTGTTAGGCCATGCGATCAATCACTAATACGGAAAAAACCTTAACAACAAACATACTTGGATTTTTCCATGAACTCGCGAGGTGAGTCGCCTCGAGGTCGTTCAGGTCGTTCGTAACGCTCGTAGCGGTAATCTACTGGAGTCGTCGATGGCGTATGTCTATGCTGACTTGGGTCGGCTGGCGTTCGCGAACGCGCTCGTTCGCTTTTCTGCCGGGCGTAACGTGCCCATTCCGGCTCCTGTAAGGAAAGCGCTGAAGAGCATACTCGGTAATTTCACGAAAAAAGCATTTAAACAATAAGCCGAACAGGTAGTCATCGAAGTAACAGAAAGGATGGAGGCGTTTTGGGTCAGTGTACGGCACCTTTGGGAGAGTCTTGGTCGCCCTGGAGGGGCCATTTCTCTTGGTTGACTTTTCTCAGTTTTCTCTTTCGTGGTCTCCCCCCCCTCTCCAGTAGCCAGCGCCGCAGAACCACCACCCAA